ATTTTTAAAGTGAGGAATGCTCCATTCATCTGTCCACTTATTTATTTTTTTAGTACTCTCTCATATGTTACATGGGGAGAAGAGAGGAGATGAGAAATAACAATGCCAGCAGGAAATGAATGAAAATTATAGATTTGAAGCTACCCTAAAAGAAAGGTGCTTGCTCTAGTATATATTGTAGGTTTGGAGACTGATTGTATGTTCTTTTCACACCAACGAAGAAAATCACACTTGTTCTTGATGCCTAATAATGATACCACACGGTAAGCACAGTCTGAAATCAAGCAGATAAAAAAGATAGGTTTCTTGCTGTCCAATGAAACTGATGTGATTTATACACATTTTGGAAACATCTTTAAGAATGGATTCAAATTGTGAAATTATTTTAGAATACTTCAGAATCTACATAATAAATATTTCCGTAGCCTCAGCCAACACTGGGACATGGTTTACACTGTTCTTGTTGAAAGTTTGGCTATTTGTAAACTACAATCTCAAATGTGTGAGGATTTTTATATTATTAATAATAAAAAAAAATGGCCTTACAGTCCGTGAAGAGGGGACAAATGGTTTTAAGAAAGCTTTTGTGGTTTAGCTGTATTATTTCATGATAATGCATGTGAACTAGATGTATGTATATACAATACATATGTACTACACATACATAGCTATTATAGGAGTTACTGCTCCTAGGTGAGGGAAAGAGGGGAGAGAGCAGGTAGAGGCTTAGTTATGCCAACACTGGACATAGGTACTGTCATTGCTGGCATGTTACCTTCTCCTGGGCCAAGAAAAGAAGTCCTCCTATAGGCTTTTGATCAGAATGAAAAAAAAAAACCATCAAAACCCCTGGTGTTTTCATTTTCCTCTCAGGTGATACGTCAAAATTACTGTGAGTGTAGTTGTTTGGTAAAGAGGTAACTAAGCTAGTTCAATAATTTACAGATTAATTATTTACTTAATGGATTTGCAACTTCTGTTTTCTAATCAAAAGTTAAATGCTTGCACAACACTAAAACTGTAATTTCTATTCATGTAGAAGTATGGAAAATATGATTTTTTAAAAATAAACTTATGCAAAAAATAAAATTGGTTTGTTAGTTTTAGCAAAACCCTGCAAAACTAGAAATTATGTCTTACATCATTCTGTTTTTTTCTGGAATGTGCCTCAGACTAACATGCAAGTTAAATTATACAGGATTTTAAAAGTTTTACAGGAAAGGTTGTCCAATGGATTTTGTCATGTCTTTATGTGAGAAAATTAGCAGGAGTTAATTAAAAACTGGAAGTTCTGTAATGTTTCAAATCCTATTTGGTGACTGTTTTTGTTCTGTTATCAGCAATGACTTTGCTTTAGTCAGGAGAAAAGGTTAGCCTAGGATATAGCTTGTTGCTGAGTTTATCACAAATACATTTCTCCCCCATATCTCTGAACATGTGTTATAAATTTTCCTCCTTGGATTTCACATGAGATCCCTTCTGCTTCTTACTCAGGATGTGCGTTTTATCTCTTATCTTTCCTGCAAAACACGGTATCGGTCCTCTGTGAATACAAACCCTTGAAGAGATTGGAACAACAGATAGGAGACCACATATATCATGGACTATGATGTATACACATTAGTCAAAATGTAAGTGATTTCATCATAATTTGAAATAACTTTAATTAAACAAACTCTTGCACTTTCACTGAATATAATCTTAAACCAATCCAAAGCAGTGGCATCTACATCCTGGGAAATTATTGGGAAAGATTACTATTTAATCACCATATAAATAAGATGCTCTCAGACATCATCCACCTTATTTACATATTGGTGAGCAAATGTGGATAAGAAACTGTATTCAGATTGACTAGGGACAGTAATTTTGGTGGAATTCAATTAACTTATGTTTTTGGTTGAAAATGTATCTCTGTTTATGAATAGCATTGCATCCTTTAACGTTTTACTGGTAGGACAGGACTAACAGCATGACAACTTGATGATCTGATTAACATAATCTATTGCACTAACTCAAATTTACTTGCAATTTGGAGGAGACAAAATTTCTTATTTATTAAGGAATAGGTGCAGGCTTACTTCTTTGTTTCAAATTCTGGTGTCTCAGGTCTTGATGTCTCTTCCCAGAGACATTAAAAGTGATATGAATATATCATATCCAAGATTAGTTAGAAAAACGCCAATCTCTTGTAGGTGTCTTGAGGATGGCAGATGGTCATGTCTTTGTATCAATGAAACAAATGAACATGCTGTGTATTTTTAGTGATGTAAACTGAAAAAAGCATATCCCGGTTCTAAGGGAAAATGTGAACTTGAAGGATAGTTAGGTTGTGGTATTGGGAAATACATTTTTAATTAAAACTTTATTTTATATAGAAATCTTGTCATAAGTTATTTCTGGAAAAAAATCCAAGAGATATCTATATGAATATAATTCTGGAGCCAAGCATAAGATATTCTTTCATACCTCCCACAGCAGAAAGGCAGTGTCTCCGTGAATGTGCACATATCTCTGCTCCTCACATTAGTTGCATATAAATGTATTGATCTATACAGATGTAGCTGTATCAATGCCTGATGCAGCTGTCTCTCATGGGCTGGACCAGTAAAAGGGCAGTAGATTCCTGAGGCCTGGTCTACGAATTGAGACCAACTCTGGAGCTTTGTTGTTTACTGATTGTTATGATGCTGTTTAATTTCCTGGTGCCCAACACACTCATTAATTCTCTCTGTGCAGTCTTTCCCCGTGTTGTGAGAAGCAGTGTGGCTCTACAGCCCAGCATGTGCCCCTTTCTCCAGAAATCCACATCCATGTTGCCTATTTTCAGCCCCCTAAAGCAGAAAGTCTCAGATTAACTCCCTTCCCTTTCTTGGGGAAGGATTTTTCCCCCACACTACTATGTAGCCTCCTTTTGCTACTTCATGTTCTTAAGCGATTGTCTTGCACATTGACGAGCCTCTGGATGGGAACAATTGCCCTCAGCTTTCAAGGTCTATCATCCAGAAGCAGCACTTTCCAAATCATAACATGCTGGAAGAGTGAGACAAGTATTAAGACATAGCAAGAAACTGACATTTATTTCAGAGCCTTTCAGCTGTGGATAAGAATAAACTTGTTTGTTACTCACTGACTAGGATGTGGTCATATCTGTTCAGAGAAGCAGATACCATGTTGTTTCAGCTGCAATACAGAATTTTTTTCTGCAATACAGAATTCTAGACTTTTTTTTTAATTCTTGCCATATAATGTGTCTATGCATAGCATAAAAGTTATTGCACTTGCTTACTAAAATGTAATTAAATTCGAGTTAATAAGAGGCAAATAAGAATGTAGGGTCAAAATATGTTCTTTGTTTGCATCTGTGTAATTTGCAGCAGGATTTTACCCATCATTTTAAATTCAACTAAATGAAAAGAATATGGTAGGCTGTACTTAAAGCAAAATCAATGCAGGCAAAACCAAGAATATTAGCAATGGTTCATCTAAAGGATCAAAAGAGTGGATCTGTAGTATACACAGCACAACATTGCAGCTGGTTTGTCTTTAAATGTTTATCTACCTCTTGGGCTCTGAATACAAATAATTATTGTGAGAAATAACTTCCATAGGAACTGCTTTTCTTTTGCTCAGGAAAAAAAATTAGAACAGTTGGGTGTAAACTTCAGAGAAAGGTCATAGGTTAATGGAGTTTGTAAATAGAACAGTAAGGGAATCTACACTTTAATTACTATAATGTAAATTACCTTAGAGAGCCCAAATTAGTGATCACTTAGCCTAGCCACTCCACCTTCCCAGTAGGTTCTGCTCACTTAGGGGGCTTAGCCCAAATTCCCTAAATTCCATCCAGACTGCTGAGATTGTGAACAATTTGCATAGTTGCAGCTTCTTCTCCAGGAACTTTGGAATGCTTTTTTTCTTCCAAAGCCCTTTCTGCCAGTTCAGTGCAATTAAAGTATCATTAGTTACTAACTTTTGTTTTAAATAACATATATAACATGTATAAAGAAAATGTCAAAATCAACCGCATTGACTCATCCTCACGAGAAATGCTGACATACAGATGAGAAAAACATCAGGACAGGTTGGGTATGGTTTTGCAGATCACATTCCTGAGCTGTAATTTTTCCATGGATTCTCTTTGCTTTTAATGACAGGCCTGAGTACAAATATTGAATGAATTCAAATAAATGTATTTAACAAGTTGTACACCAGAAACAACTTAAATACATTCCAAGTTCTCAATTGAATGATAAGATAGAAGTCAAAACACCCATTTTGAAAAATCACTTTGAAGATCAACATAAAAATGTTGTGTTCCCACCATCATGGCTGGAAATTGTGTGGCTGAATAGATGCAATGTGACAAGAGCTGGGTTAAAGGAAGAAGCTTTCTTTTATGTTTGCACTTACTAGGTTTTTCTCATAATTTTAAGAAGTCCCTGTATTTCAAACTTACCAAGCAGTTTTTTCCTGAACAAGTCTTAAATTACATGAGTAAATGCAAAAGAAAAAAAAAATTTGACAAGAGGCTCCCATTTCAGGATTGAGCATTTCAGGGGAGGATTGGTGCCTCTTTATTACCATTTTAAGTGGGGATTAATCTTTGTTAAGAGGTAACTGTGAAGTGATTTATGGTTTATGGGTGCTTGTGTTGAGAAGAAAACAATATTTGTGTTTGTAATTAAGATGTCTTTAAAGTTTTGGTGGCCCAGCTCTGTAATCCTGATGCCTGGTTTGATTTTTCCTGTGAGTGGTGCAAAAGGGGCTGCAGAGAAACACTCCAACAATGCCTCTGCATAGAAGACAAAAAGAAAGAATGAATTTATGGAAGTATAACCTTTTTGCTTTGAACTTCACAAAATGTACTGATTAATGAAAAATAATGATTAATTTCCAGTTAAATATAAGCATTCCCACTCCAGTTAGAACATTTTAGAGGCAGAGAACATTTGGCAAAGGGAAATATTCAAATAATAACAATAATAAAAAAGCTGTAATATATCTATGAAAGTAATTGCCTTTCTTTTAAAATATTAGAATAACACTTTGAAGATGTGGATTTGATTCTTGACATTTTCTGTGACACTGCCTATGAGACCAATGTCAGTGCTTATGTCCTCCATCTAAAAAACAAAACAAAATAGTATATATAGATTACAAGATCTCCAGGACAAGAGACTTGGACTATATTTTACAGTGCCTACAGTTTCATTGGAAATCATATATTGTAAGTTTTGCTGAAAATATATTTAACGATAAATAAAATAATACAATGAGAAAAAATAATAAGAACAACAAAAAAATTACCTTTGATATTAAAAATTTTAGGTAAGGGTGTTATTTTAAAATTCTAGCCCCACTGGTGTAGAAGAATAGTTCTTAAGTAAGTTAGTTCTGTTCGTAAAACACCTGCAACAGAATCTTACGTACAACTCCCAAGGAGTTGTACGTAAAAAACACAAATTGTCCTCTCCCAAGCGTCCAGGTAGGATCTTATGACTTGGCCAGGAAGAGCATCCTTCCAGGAGAGGGAGCTGCTCAGCCTAGGGACTCCAGGCTTTACTGCTCCAATTTGATTCTGCTTTGGGGATGGGAATTGCAACATGTTCTAAATTTACCTGTGCACAGCAAGCCTGAAGCTGCTTGGTTGCTGCTTTATCCATGACCACTACATTGCAGCCTCTCAGGAGCAAAGACGACACAGTAGGTTCTAAATGGAGGTTGTGAAACAGCCAGGAAAGCCTGGGAAAGCAGTGCAGAGGAGACAGATCCTTGGAGTGTCTGGGAAGGATCTCCAATACTCCTATATCTGTCACTTCCCTGGGACATACCAATGTGAGGCTGCTGGGGATAAAGAGGGATTAACAGATTTAGTAAAAATCAAGCAGGAGATTCCAGGGCTAAGAGAGATCTCCAGAACACAACCAATAATTTATTCAATAGAATTTTTCTCTTCTATAATAAAAGCACATTTATTAAAGTAATGAAACAGTAGTTGATTTATTTTAAGCACAGAACAAAAGAGTCTGAGTTATGCAACACATTTGCTGTTTATTATTGTACTTCTGGTACATGTGGTCTGTCATAGACAAGAAATAGTGTCTTTGCATGGACCAGGACTAAAACATACAATATTGAGCTGAGCTGTGCTGATCTGGTCAGCTTCCAACCAGGAAAATGGAACATGAGCTGTTGTAGTAGTTTTACTTAATTAGTGCTGCCTTTTACTTTTTGTGACCATACTGATGCTGCTTTCTGTTAAGATAGGATCATAATTACCAGTTTCTAAGGTAGAACATGAGCATTTAGCCTGATTCTTTGAAACTTCTCTAAGGAATAATATTCCCCCTCAGCAGGCACGTGTTGTTGGTCCTACTGAATCTGACATATGGGGTTGTCATTCTTGTGCTTAGCTAGCATTGATCTTTTCTGCATTGTTAATGAGGACTGTGTATTCTACTCACAGTCCTGTCTTCTCTCCATAACTGAATCTGTGAAGTCCATATCTCATACAAATATACAAGGGTTGTATTTAGTATTCTATTTTTCATCACCAGAATTGAGAAGAGCTTGTTACTGCACTTTGCATGGCCAAGCTCTGTTACTGTGTGCTGCTCCCACTCAGATCAAACGTAAAGATACGTGTGCTGTTGACCTCATTTAAAAGCCCTCAAGAGGGAAAGTCCGAAAAAGTTGATACAGTTTGACATGGTTATTCATTATGCATTGGAAGTGCACTGCTTTATTTTCATTAATTTTACATAGAAATGAGATACAGCACAACATGCTTTTCACATTTTTGGGAGCTTCACAAAGCTTATGTTGTTATGTTCTCTTCACAGAACCACTTATAGACAGGCAAATCCAAAAGCATTCCGCATTCCCCAGCTCATCAACCCATGTTTAAAGAGGATTGGGTTGTCCTTGTGTTAAATGTTGCCATTCTGTTACTTCTCCTGCATGATATTTTTCCTGCTTCTGTAGAATGACTGGCACTGATGAAAAATATTCAGGTGTGATAAAAATAGAAAATATGCCCTTGGTATACCATTGAAAATTGTAACTAATCACCATGATGTAAATGCTGGAATATGAGAACCATGATACAGAAGTTTAGTTGTAGTTGTGCTGAACTATCAGTATCATTCACAAAATACTGTAGCTCAAATACAGCCTGATTGTTGAGTTTCTAAATAGAACTAAGGATTGCTACACTGCACCTTTTTCATTAAAACCAGGTTTCTTTCTTTTTATTTTTCTGACAGAAGGAGATGTAAGTGAAAGGTCAGCATATCATCATGTCAAATTTATGATGGTTTTTTATGATCATATAATATAGTAGAACATCATTCCTTCATGAAATGTATGCTGCTTTTTTAAAGGCATGCAACTAAATTCAGAAAAATATTGGGAACTGTTCAGACAAAAGTGGTGATTTATATACTGGTGAGAACATGAATATAATTTTTTTTCTAACTTCTTCTAGAGCAGAATAATAAAGAAACATTACTTTGTCTTACGAAGATTATCAGTATTAAAGGTATTTTAAATACTTGCATTCAAGCTCAAACTTATTCCCAGTGACCTTAGTTGCAATGCTCTATGCATTGAATGATCCCAAAGGACTGCAAAGGTCTGCAAATGATGTGCAGTCCCTTTCTGTTCTGTTTCCATTCTTCTGTGCAGCTTCCAAACTTCCTTACTTTAACCCCCTTATTCAAAACCCTGCAAATGCCATTATGAATCAAATTCTGTTGTTTTTCAACTTTCAGAATGACTGATTTTTCTTTATAGCATACATTATATTAGCTACAATCCTAGCAGTCCTAGAAAAAATTACTTCTTCTGGCCCTGAAACCTTAGCTAAGATCTAGTGGTTTGGCCACAAAATTAGGAATCAGAAACTTTTTTGTAAATCCATAACAATTGCCACTTGTTTCATCCAAAGTAAGCAACTCCTTAAAGCTGCTTGTGGTGTCAATTCTTTTTAGGTAGCATGGTGATAATACCTCTTGCCTCTTAGAAGTGTAATGGAAATTATTTGAAGTCTGTGATCCTGAATGACCTAGAGGTACTAAATGTTGTCATCTAAGTATAACTAGTCCTGATTATGGAGTATTTGGTTGTTTACAATATCCTTTTCAGAGGGCTTATGCATGCGTTAACATAAAATTAAATATAGGTAATAATTTCTGTACTGTAGTTACTAAAGATACACATCCAGCCCTCACTTAACCCTCTGTGATCCTATTGATTGTTTTGAGATTTACTTTGAGCTTAAAATAGGGTCAGGTTGGACCCAAAATATTCACTTCTAAGGCAATTTAGATTGTGACATCAATGGAGATTTTGCTCCACACCTCTGCCTTACAATACCTCACATTAATTCTGTGCTAGGAAAAATCGAGTATGTGGAACTTAAGTGGAATGCAGGGAGTATGTTTTGCATAGCAGTTGTTCCCAATATGGAATAAACAAAGCACAGCAGAAAAAGAGAAATTATTACTGGCACTTCACATACTTGCTCAGATGAATAAGGGGGTTTGGCAAGATGAATATTCCTTATATGGATGTATATTAAAAAGAGGAAGTAAAGCTCTTGCTCAGTTGAGGACAGTAGCTCGTGGTTTTCATATTGCATCTGGTCAGAACATCGTTTCCCGTGTAAGTGTTGTGCTAAAAGACAAAAGAAAATGCAGCAATAGGTTTTTCTCTGTTCCAGCCACCCGGCCATCCAGAGTCCCAAGTGGTGATAGAAGCTGTTCCTTTTCCTTCCTACTTAATCCAGTCCTGAGCTGGATTAGCAATTGCATGTTCTTTTGTCAAAGTGCAAGTTTAGCCTGGATAGCCATGGGAATCCTGCCCTAAGTACCCACACTTGACATACAGACCACTGCCCGTCTGTTGGTGTGGCACTGTGCCCACTTCCCCAGCTCACGGGCCATTCCAGTGAGGCATAACTGCCCGCTGATTGCGAGGTTCCATGGGCAGCTGGCAGCACCGCTGCCTGCTCTGCACTGAGTATGGCTTGCTAACACAGAAACCTGTGTTACAGGTGGATTTAGTGTTGCACCACTTAGAGTTGTATAGGCAAAACCCTAGTCTGATTGAAGTTGAGTCAGCCTTACCATGACCTGACTAGAAACAGATCTGAAAAACTGTTGCTCTGCCCTGGAGGACAGACAGGGAAGAAAAGGGGGTCTGCCAGTGGATACTGAGTCAAACACTTTGTTGTATAAGTGCATCAAAGATGACATAGAAGTTCTGCACATAAGCAGCAATTCATGACAACTGATGAAGCAAGGAAGAGCTCTGGCTTACCATGGTGATTCCAGGGGAGTTCAGGGCATGTTTTACTTAGTGTTTTGCACAATATTTGAGTCATATGTTGATTCATCTCCCTAAAAATAAAAGTGTCTGACTTCTTAACCTGCTAACACTCAGTTGCTTTATGCCTTTGCAAAGATCTCTCATCCCAATCCACATATATGCATCCATGCTGACAGAAGATTCTTCTGCATTTGAAGGCATTCATAGTTTGAAAGTTTTCATACCTTCCCTATACCTGCTTCTCTCAAAACTTAGCAGTAATGAGGTTCTGATTATAAAAGAACTGACATGAAGAATTAAGAAACTGTGAAGGGTAGATTTTTACCCTTTCTTTTTAAAAGGCATGCGAAATATTTTAGATCCTTGGAAATGTTTTGTTTTAGTTTTTGTTTTTAATTTGGTTTTGTTCTTGTTTTGTGTGAGTAACAAGGAATTCCTTTTCACTCTAAGAAAGATAAATGTTAGAATCCTTTTAGAAATTAAATACCAATTCTAATTAATTCCAGTAGAAATAATTCCATGTTGTTTATACCAGTTCATACTTTTATATGACAGAGTAAGTAACACATGGAGAAAATTTGGCCTTGTGTGTTGCATGGTGAAAGGCACTAGTGGGAAGTGAAATGGGCTGAAAGTCAACTAGGGGTCTTTTATTGCCTCTGCTGTTGAACTACTTTATGACCCTTAGAAAGCCACTCAACTTCTCTGTGCCTTGGTTTTCTTTTGGTATTAATTAACTAAATTGTAAATGATTTGTCAACAAATCATTTGTTCTACACTGATCTTGGCTTGGCCTTGAAGTGCTAATGGATCAAAAGTAATAATGTTGAGGACTTCATAACCAATCCATTTAGCCAAAGGTATTCTTAATACTTTTTGGGAAAGTACTCATTTACTTGCATAAAGACAGGGTTCTGCAATAAAGAGAAAACATCACAGCACATATTCTTCATTGTCATTCATCTATTTATCCTTTTAATCTTACATAATCTTATATAAAAAGCACAGTATTTTAGATCCTCTAAAACAAAAAGCATAGGAAAAAGAAAAAGAGGGTTTTTTCTGGCCATTATAGGTTTTACAGTTTTCTTCATGCCTCAAAATGAAAATTAGTTCTTTTAGCTAGTATACGTGTCTGTGTATGTATGTGTTTTAATGAGCGCACAATAAACAAATACAGTGTATTAACAAGAAATGTTTAATGTATCCTTGTAATTAGATATTTGCTTTTCATGGATTCACTGTTCTGTACATGACTCTTCTGGAAATAACCAGTGTTATCTGGAAGCCTTAAAACAGACATCCCCTTTGGTGAGAGGAGCAAATGCAGCTCCAGCTCATGCAATAAATGTAGGTCAGTTCCTGCAGAAGGAAATCTGTACTTGCACTGCAGTGCGCCTGCACAGGGCCAGCTCCCACGAACACTGTGTGTTGCTTCTTAGACTCCTCTTCAGTTAATTATGCATCTTTTCCCTTGGCTGCAGGATGTTTCTGAGCTGCCTATGGAGTATTGTTCTCCATTCTACGTTCAGGTGCTTGAAAAAAGCATTTCTGCTTTTGGAAATTTAGGATTTTACAAATTAGAACACATATAATGTTGTATTGTTTTCTCCTCCCCCACCCTGAATGTCTCCCTAGTATTTTTATTTTTTTTAATAACAGATGTGTTTTGAAGCTCTCTGAAATTAACACAAATAGAAAATTAATTATAAGGATAGTGCAAAAGCTTTTCATATCATTGCTCAGATATAAAAAGGTTTAAGGATGAACGTGATAAAATTCATGTAACTTTTCATACAACATTCTTGAAGGGGGTAGATGTCTTGCAAAGAATTTTAGAAAAGTCAATGTTTGCTTTAACATAAAGAATTTAGTAGATCTATATTATATTATTTTAGGTTTTATTTCATTGGAAGTTCTAAGGATTGCTTATTCCTTGATCTCTAATCCCAGTTCAAACTCTGTAAAATTTCCCACTTACTCTTACTCTTCATTTCTTTCAAATGTTATTGAGAAGCTTCTTCAAGTTTCCATCCAGTGGGTACAAGCAGTGTATACCCTGTCTCTCATTCTCCCATGTGTGAGCACAGTTTAACAATAGCCCTGACAGTGTTTGTCCCTGAAAGGAGAGGCCTAGTTGAGAGTATGGTGGAACAGGTATTTCATATTTCCCTCTACGGCTGTCCCAGAAAAAGGTGATTATTGGATCAAAATATTTGTGTATGTGCATGTATACATCCACACGCGCTTTTAAAAAAACATACACGTATATTTATGTAGAAGAATTACTCTTGAAAGGTTCCTGGTTTAAATATGAACATTTTAAGAAAAATGAAAAGTGTATTCACTGAAGAGGAAGACAGAAACAAATTTTTCATTCTGCATCACAACCAAATACAGTCTGCACAAATTGCTAAATATGTTGACGGGAGAGGGAGGGAGTAAACCTCCCGACACTGTGCACTTTTGGAAAAAAGTGAGCTTACTTAGCATAATTAGAGAAACACTGCAGCATTCTCTGACTTCCATACTTGAGGGAGAATCAAATTAACCATTTACATAAAATTACAGAGTACACTTGAATTAGAGTGCTTCAAATCCATTGTTATGCAATTTGTGGAACTATTGCAGTACCCCAAATGCTGCTACTGTCTCAGAATTAGAGATGTGGGCAGTGTCCAACAGTCTCACAGTCTCCTGTGAGAAAGGGCAGTTGTTGAGGAGATAGGATGACTTTTTGAGTACCTCAGGGGTCCATACTTTAGTTAGGACCCTGTGTCAGAATCAATACACTGTATTGAGATATTATTCCTAGGTACTATCTGATGGAGAAAATCTGCTCTGATAATGTATTTGCTAAAGATGCTTTACATGTGTGTGTGTGTGTATAAAAATGTTTGTTGCTAGGGGGTCACAACTTTTTCATGTTATTAAGATGCCAGAACTTTGCAATACACTGAGCATTCTGTGTAGCTGTAAGCACTTGTCCATTTTTTTACCTACATTTGTGAACTTAAAAATCCAGGCAATTCATGGAAGTGTGAAAGGGATATCTTGGAAAGCTAAGTAAGTTAGATCAATCCCCTCTGATGGGCCCCCTTTTAAAAGCTTATACAAAAGAACTGTTTTGTTTGAGCGAATTGCTTACTACTTGGTGAAAATCATATATTAATGAGTCCCAGATCAATATTCTTGAGGCTGCAAAAGGAACAAAGATAACTTCAACCCAACATAAAAGATGGATCAGAAGCTGTATTTTAGCAAAAATGTCTCTTAAGTGCTGTTTTCTGACACTAGGAACTCCAATCAATGTGTCAGTATTTTGGAATTTGAAAGGAAATAGGGATCAGACCTGACAATCCAGAGCTGATATTTGATGCTCTGGTCTTTTTGATAAACTGACAGGCAGTAGAAATTGCACATGTCTGCAGGGAATCAGGAGAAAAAGAGAGACAGTTTTGTGGAAAGTCTGCTTATGATTCACAAAGACATGCATTTTATCAAAATGGATTGCTGTTCCAGTGTGTGTCAGTTTGCTTTCCTTTTTGAATGGAAGCTTTTGCAGATTGTAAACTGGTACGTTTTGTACACATCTACGATATATTCTGACTTCTGTAGGTTTACAATTTCATTTCAATTGCTCTCCTATTGCTGCAAATGAAGCAAGCTTGTTAAAAAAGGGTAACCAAAAAAGAATTAGAAACTTTGCCTCAAAAGCTTTTTTTTGGAAATGTATGTTCAAATTTAACAAAATTTTAAAAACTCTTCTTGTCAATAGTTTAAAATAACTGAAAAGAATTTTTCATGTTTCATCTTCTAATCCTTTGGATTTATGTAATTCTTTTCATCTGAGTCTCTTAAACCATGCTGCAAATACTCATCTTAAAATATCTTATTCACACAAATATCATTATACCCATACTCAGGCTGGTAGACTGAAAGACTGCAAGACTGGGTGACCAGCCTGATATCACATGTGACGCTGCTCTTGGCCGCACCCGAGTTCTGTGCTAGCTCTATGGTGCCACTCCAGCACGGGCAGTTGCCAGGAGTGGGGAACTGCAGGGGAAAGGCGATCCCACTGCAGAACCTTCAGAGCACCGAATCCTGCCGGGCTCTGCCAAATCAGGTGTCGTGGGTGATGGCAAAAGGAAGGAGGAGACTCACTCGGCTGTACTTCCCAGGAACAGGTTTATTTGGGAGAGGGGATGAGCACAAGGGTCCGAGCTGGAAGAAATCAGGACCGAAGAGAGCACAGAGCACCTCTGTGCACTGAGTTTTATCTTAGGGGTGGGCACAGTCCAGGGTCCAATGGGAGCTCATGGAGGGAGGGGTAAGGGGAGGAGGTTACAATGTCAGGGACCAATGGGGATACAAAGAAGGCGGGAATACAACATAACAACCAATAGTGTTCTGAGGAAGGGATGATGTACATGGAAGGAGCTGGAAGGAGAGGTGGGGTTTACAGTGATGGATGGAGAGATGGGGCAGGGTAAAGGTGATTGACGGGGAACATTCAGGAAAACTGGGAGGGGTTTACATAACAGACAAATGGAACCAACCAAAGCAGTAAATGGGGGAGAACCAGGAACATACCAAACAGATGAAACACTTTATGAGAACTGAATAAGCATACTACAACACACATGGAAACTGGGAATTTATCTGCAAACAGAGCCCAAGACTCCTGACTTTCAGGAGTCCTGAGTTCAGGCCATCCTGAACACATTTTACCACTTATAAAATACCAGAACCAAATCCTGAATCCTGCATAAAAACAAGCTTAAATCTGCTTTGTGTGAGGGAACAAAGAAGTTGTCTTGTGGGACAGGTTTACTGAGCCACTAAGTGCAATGTTCTCTCTCTGGGATCAGCTAATACTTACGAATGCTTCACCCACTCTGTGGTGTTTTTTTGTGGTTAGTTCATGCCTGGAATACAGAGATTAACCCCCCTTTCTTAAATTCCCCACCCCATTAACTATTAAAACTCAATTTTGTTTTAGACATATAAAGAAGTTTTGTGCATTTAGGCAGTTGGAAGTTGAACTCCTTTGTTTTTGTAGAATATTTGACCTTTAAAACACCTCTCTTTATCGTTTATTTAAAATTCAAAAAGATGCTTGGCTCTCTTGTTTTTACAGCCTTTACAGAGACTACTAAAGTTACAACCTAAAAATTGTTTTTTGTCATTTTAGCTTTAGTATATAGCCTTAAAAGAGAATAAATACCACTAGTTTTCTTCCTTAGGAAAGTGTTACCTTGTTAGGTAAGAAACATTTTCAGAATTTAGTCACATGTGTCCCTGTGCTTCTAGAGACATTATTAATATCAAACAGAACTGTCAACTTTGAAAACCTGCTTTCATGAACTTGGAGATGGTGGCTAGACAGGCTAGAAAATTTTTCTTCATGGTTTTATTGGCCATTTCTGAAGTTAGAGTGCTGTGTCATCTTGAGACGACTGTGCAGCTGAGGAGGCAGAAGGCAGAATGGTAGGGGTGGAGCTGCAAGGAGCTGTTGTGGTGGAATATAGAGAGGACAGGGTCCTTAAAGGGCTGTAGTTTGTCGGAGCTCATCCACCTAAATATGTTCAGTTTAACTAAATACTGATATAACTATGATCTGTGTATTTTCAAATATCAAAACTCCTTCTGATCTCTTCATCACTGAGAAAAGATGTTACTGCACCCCATTCCTTTAGTAGAAAGGGAAAAATAACCATCTTCTCTTAAATTACTTTACTATACCATAGGCAAAAGTGTCCAGTCCAGGCTGCTGCTGCTTTACCTTGGTTGTACACAGCAGTAGATAAAGTGAATCTTACCATATCAGCTCCTAGAAATTCAAGTCTGGCTTTATGTTCATGGATCCCCTACATAAATCAAGTGGAGTTGTGACTGAAATAGTTCTCTGCCAAGGCTAATACAGATATAAGATAATACTCTTATATCAGGCAGTAAGCAGGTTCATGCAGCTGGAAACCTTTTGCTTACTGGGCTCACTCTCTTTCAAGCATTGAAATCATGGCAAGCATAGTGCCATGTCTAACATGCTGATGTTAAGTTCCATACAGGCCACTTACATGGGAGAATCAATAAGAGAAAAGTGAGCTCTGAGTTATCAAGCAGGGAGGAGTGTCACCTGGTTTCTTACCACTATTACATTGCATACTGATGTTTCACTGAAGATAAAATCCACCTACGTTCATTGCGAGCAAGGGAAAACCCCACTACTGCTATTATTACTACTACTACTACTTAAATAAATGAAAGGTTGTTTGGCATGATGTCTTTTCCTCTTAATGTATATTTTCACCCTGGGGAATGGTTGCCTCTAATTGATTCATCTAGGGCAAAATACAACCGAGAATATATTAAACATGGTTGGTCCTATTCAAACTGGCAGCAAAGGTAAATTTTTCCCTTTTTATTGGAGGATAAAGAATTACTCACTTTCAGTTTTCTTTTACAGATAGATCTGTTCTAAAATGATCTGCTGTTTTTGGCTGTTTGTGGAGGCTGGTGAGCTGATTAACATAGAATCCACAATTATCCCTCAGAGGGAAAGCTCCTAGAGGAGTTCCTTTGTTGTTGGGGTAACAACAAAAGGAGTTGACCCCCCCCACCCAGCATGCTTTGCAGCCCATGCAGATTTTATATTCTCCATGCAAATTCTATGTACCCCATTGGTCCTTCCCCTTTGCTCCACCCTGAACCCTCAGTTGACTAGTCCTGATGCTTGTAAATAAACCCCTGCTGCCTCTGACTATCTGGCATCTTTTATCCCTCACCCCTTCGTGGTAGCTGGAGTTCTCCACATCCCTGGACTGAGAATGAAGGCTCCCTGTGGAATACCACACGAGACTTCTGTCCCTCCTTCTGTGTTGCCTGGACATTGCTGGATGAGCTGCTATAGCCCTTTCCAGGGCTCAGAGCTGAGATCACTTTCAGGAGGGCAGGGAGTGCCTGTACACCCAAGAGTGTCCATCCAAGGATGCTTTTCTGGGAAAGTCGCAGTACCTGGACCACCACCCAGGCCACGACAGCTATTTTTCCAAAGTGCTTTTAGCTGTGGCCATCCTCTGCCTTGTTCCAGTTTATTAAAAAAAACCAAACAAATCCTTAATGGATATGCAGAAATTTTGTCCCTTGTTATCCAAGCCTGAGTATTCTTCCTTCAATAATTTTCAAGTATTTTTTAGAACCCCTTTTTGATGATGATTTAACTCAGAGAATCTGCATTAGTTGATTAGATACTAAAATGTTTTTGCCTTCATTTTGGTCAATCTGACAAGTGAAAAATAGATGTCAGCCATGTGACAAAATGCTGAATATAAATTCTGTTAGCATTTGCTCCTGAGATAAACAGAAAAGGTGAGGGTTGGGGAGGAGCTGAAGAAAGAGCAGGGAGTTAGAGGAGACTGGAAAAGGAAGAATGATAGCTACTCTTGAAAACATCAAGCCTAAAGGAGAGTGCTAACTAAGTCAGTTGTTAGAAGCCAACAAGACTGTCAGCTCCCTCTCTGGCTGTAGATTTCATAAAAACACTTGCAGAAGTGTACCACAATTTCAAATTGGTAAGTAAATAAAAGCAATAAAGAGGCACATTTGTGGTGCCATGTTCAGGTACATTGTCAAATCAATCTGATTCTTGTATTAACTGCAAAGTGTACCAATACTTGACAGAAGATTACAGAAAAAAATTTAATCTAAAATTCCCTGCTAACTTCTGAGTGATTGCAGACTTCTGAGGTCTGCAGCACATTCTGCTGTAAAGTCTCTCTCAGTGTTGGAAATCACATAACTGAGAGAGGTGATCTAGTTTTAATTCTGTCACCATGTTTTGGTGGGAGGCTTTTTCCTCGTATAGAGAACTAACACAGCTAGATACCTTTGTTAAAATGTTGTACATGTTAAGACCTATTTATTTGATAGCAGACAAACAGAAAAGATCTTCTGACTGTTTCTATCCAAAGAAGCTTGTGAAAGGTTGGTCCCTGACAGAATTCACCTTAACAGATACTTAGGGTGAGGCTGCACTCCAATACTGTCTCTGTGATTGCCAGCATCTGTTGTGGTTTGCAGACTTGTCCAATGAGATTTGCTAATCCAGTTGTGTGTTTGACCCCATGTTGCTGAATACAGCTCTCTGGAGCATGTTACATCCAATACAGTTAACCCTCAGGGACAGTCTTATTGCCACACTTTCCCATACAGCCTGTGCTGTATTGTGAAAATGGATATGTGGTTTAAGTTGAATCAAAACTCAGGTGCTGTATTTGCATCAGTAAATACAGACCTCAACTACAATGTAGAGAACTGGATTCAGGCTTCCAAAAACCTCTGGCCTATTCAGATCTAAACTGGGATTAAGATCTTACAGTAATGAAGGGCATTGCAATATTTTAGAGGGCATGTTGTCCCAGTTTGCTCATGTTCTGAATTTTGTAGGAGCAATGTTCTGTGGGTGTGCTCTCCAGTAGTCTCTATCACTGAAGATCAAAATGATGATAGCATTTGGAAACTGGAATTGGAAGGTGAAAGTTTTTGTTGGCTTTGTATCTGCTAATAAATGATGCAGGGAAGTTTAGTGTCTGGAGAATTAGATTTTAGCTTGGTGATTCATGCTTTTACTATCCATTCACAGAATGTGTGGGTTTGAGCTCAGGTAGTTAGTGTCATGCTGAAAAAGTCAAAATGAATGTGTATTATTCCACTTGTAGCCAATGATGATTTCTAAGAATTCAGACTCTTGGTAAGAGTATGTTCCACCATGAATTTCTCAAAGGAACCAGCCAAATTCACATTTTCAGATACTGTTAAGGAAAGTGGGGTATGAAAATACAGAGTAAGAAAATCTCTCTGATCTTAACTTTTGTACTATTCTAGCTTTTTTCTTTTTATTTCATCACAAGTTATTTCAAGGAGTTGAAAATAGAGATATTTATACAAGGAGGGATTTAAATTTTAGGCAAGTCCTGTATGTTATTTTTTTATTAAAATGCCTAAACAGCTGTTTGAAGAGATCATAATGCATGTTGTGACCACAGCATTTTATAGTTTGGTTTGTAAAAGATACACATTTCTTGTAATGCTTTAACATATTCTTTTTAACTTGAGGTACTCTCATCTTCTCTAACAGACAGATGTTTGATTTTAGTGGGACAAAAATAAGCTCTTACAGTGCTGAGATCTTTAGAAAATCTTATAGGAGTGTAATGGGAGTTTTAAACTAAAAGTAAAAGTTCATTGCTTCCCAGCATTTCTGTAAGAGTCAGACAACATACCTGCAACCAAGCTTCTGCCTAGCTCTTTTCCAGAGCAGCCCAGCTCAATGTAAGTCTTGCTCTTGCCCTGAAAACAAGTAGAGCACCTGGGACTTGTCATCCTTTGTATCCACATCACTGGCCTCCTACAGAAGCTTTCTAAATAAATCTTTCCTTGAGTACTTAACAGATGACTTTCTCTGCAAGCCTCTGTGCAGCTGACCCAGACCTCTGATCACTATGGATCAGCTGGCCCTCCTGTGCAGGGGCTACACAAGGTGGACAAGCTGGTGAAATGAAGGCCTCCTTCCCCTCTGGATTATTCACCTACAAAAAAATCAAAGTAAAATCTGGTAAAATTGCAGTCACTAGCTGCAATGCTAACTCTTCCAAATCTGACTTTTTATTAAAACAGTAGGGGATGAAAATGACAGGCTAAATTCAGGTGAGACAGGCCCCTAGAGAACCATGGTGAAGCAAAGGCGAGTGAATCGATCCATGCCGTAGGACAGCAGAGTCTGAAATGGCACGGTAATGGCAGCAGCTGAAGCTCCTATCGATGCAGCACGGGATGCTTTTTGCTCCACTGATGACTGTTGTTCAGTTTCAGAAAATATGGAAAATTCTCTTTCATTATTAAAAATTATCCAGAAGATGTCTGTATATCAGGTGCAAATGTTTACAAATCATTACACTAGTAATTTCTGTAACAGTACTCTTACAAGCACAGGAAGGTCAGGGACTTATTTAACGATTGTGTTTTACTTGTGGAAGGGAAACAGTGCTCTAATCCATTTGGTCTTAATAGTGAAATTTACTCCAGAACGTAAGAAAATGTTTTGGCCAATTTAAGTAATGGCTGTGATTATAGCACATAATGTGGTGCGTTCTATACTACATAATATGTTATGAATAGCACGCTGAAGGATTTTTTTAGTGTATGTATATTACATAGAAGCACAAAGGATGCATCTCTGAACTGTTTTTGTCTAGCTGATTATAGGTCTAACTGCTACTGGAGGAGGCTGAAAGAGCTTTGTTGAGAGACATTGATTGATTAATGAAGAGTGCAGCAGCAACAGACATAACATTGCAGTTATAGATTTTTCATACTTTATCTTCAGGTCTTGTAAAGATACAGTGGTGATCAGATGATGAGGTTTCCTTTCACCTTGCAGTAAGATACAACAAATCATGGCATTCTGCAATGCCACAAAACAGCTTTTGACAGAACACCGAGTGAAAGAAAATTCCCCCACAATCACGACTTTACAGTTAGACATTGTCCTTTATTCCTTCTGATCTCCTTAAGGGAGAGATGCTTCAAACAATAATTTAAAGTAATGCCCCAAATTTAGAAATAAAGTGGGAACTGTACATTCAAACACTTAGGGATTCTATTTTTATTAAATTGAAAGTGAGTGGAAAGTCACATGTGAAGTCTGCACACATTTCATTCCTGGTGATAGATAATTTGCTAAAGAAACCTGTATTTACATTGCAGGTTAATGAGTACAACAGCCTAGAGTTAACAGTTTTATTTGTTCAATTAAAACAATAGCTTGTGTATCTAGTTAAAGAGAAGATGTAAAAAGTCCAGCATCAGTATGCAACCACAATATAGTGGAGTTGGTATTTTTATCTGAAAGTCAAATCCTGGCTGGGAAAACACATTTCAGCTATACAGGACTGATCATAGGGGAACCAGTGAAAATAAACTGGATTCTCATTCATTAGCTGGCATTTTGCTGTGCCCCTGTAATAAAGGTCTAAATAGGAACAGAGAAAAGAACTGCCACAATAGGCAGATGTCTTTACCACTTCTTTTTAGAACTACTTTTAAAGACGTGTTGGAATAGATTTTTTGAATATTTTCATATTATTCTGTATCTTTCCAATAAATCTAAGCAGGGCCTAAGTTTTATGAGGTTTAGTGTAATAAGAGTTTAAATGTAAGTTGTTTTGCAGTTGCTGTTAAATCCACTGATCTTCCAGTGAGTTTAAACCCATTTTTAATAATGTTGTTGTTTAATAACAACCCATTTAAATAACGTCTGTTCTTCAAATTGCCCTTTCATGCCCTTTTTATATGATTTTTGTCCTGACTTCAGTTCACAATATATCCCTTTTTAATCCATTTACAATGTAAATTAAGAATCAGAGCACATGAAGTTCTTACTAAACAGTCTTTTAAATGTATAAGTATGTATATTTTAGAAATTATAATTTTTTTTTTTTTTTAAGATAGAAACTTCTCTTAGAGGAAGCATCTCTTCAAGGATTATCTTTTATCAAGTTGTAATTTAAATTTGTAGTATT